CTGATGAGATGAATGTGGCTTAAATTCTAGAACAACGAGGCTCTTTTGATTATCATTTTCAAAGTATACGACGTATCCACACACTTGCGTAAAACCATTTGTGTTGTCCAGTGTGCTTTCATTTTAGCGGTATATTAGTCTGTTACAGCTTGAATTTAATCACATAGTATGTAGCTGTTAAACCCATCTAGGCCCAACTGTCCCAGTCCCACGTTAAATGTGGCGAACAATGAGCGGTATATAGGTGTTACGCTAGATTGCTGGTACGAGCACAGGATGACAGGAAACGTACACATCAGCACTAATTACCAGCCGCCAGTGAGAAAGCCACCTCAGCTAAAATGTGCTCTTCCTATCCCAGTACGCTCTGGTTCTAACGGGAGTAACGTCACTTGTTGCCGACGCAGATAACCGATTTGCGGTTACTTTCATCTCATTTTTGCTCGCCCTTTCATCCTGCACATCTGAGAATGTACGAATCACATTTTTCGCTTCGCAAGTGTAGCTGCATTCAGCCCGCATCTCCGGAATCCCATGTGGGACCTCTCACTAGGGCTCAGTTTCCGAGTTCCAACCAAGCTTATATTCCACTTGTTTGTATAATTTGTTTCAAATAGTCCGAACTTGCCTAACGTACTGGTTGGTCGCAGCTTGATGGAGAAAATAGTTGTGCTTGCAGCCACAAGATTGGCCGTGTCGGCGAAGAGACGAGTTGTGTGGAAGCAGCACACTTGAGCAAATGTGTTCACTTGGCATACAGCTGGACCGTGAATGAAACACGGCTGACGATGCCGTATGGGTTGAGCAAACTGGCAGTGTAAACACGTGTCAGAAACCACGTGACAACTTGAGTTGTTTCCGTTGAAAACCACGTGGAGCATGTCACGTTTACATCTACGTTTTGCGTTCAAACAACATTTAGTGAAAAACAATAGTTCACAATTCCTCTCAGAACGTGTAACAAGTTTTGCATAGGTTGGCAAGACACTAATAATTGACTGTATCATAACCAAAAATGTATCCACATGTTCAGGGCTTATGAAACCGATAATTGCAGATCTGTGGTAAGTGAGTTCAGGACATATACCAGTAAAACCAAATGTCCAACAGCATGCAGGTATTCAATTAGCCTGTATATTTAGCACTTGGAACTTTTAAACCAGGTAATAACGGCAACATAGAATAACGGCAACACATTTGCTCCGCATGTCAGATGTGCGGAGTTCAAACGCAAACCCCGGAACGGTAGAC